CTGAAGATAAAATTGAAAAAGTTACTGGGAAGTACTATTTTATATTATGACTGCTTTTTCAAATTTTGTTTATAGATGATAAAATCTAGATCTCTAATTTTTTTAAGCCCAAGCCCCATGGACAATGCAGCTCTTTTCAGTTTTTGCTTATACACAAATCACTCTTTGCAGCTAATTAAGCTGAAAAAGCCTGGGAATAGTTTCAAACAGGTTAATGAATAAAGTTAAAAAACAAACCTAACCTTTTCTACTCAAAAATCTGTACAAAATTGGTTATATTGATTTTTACCAGGGAATTTCACCTTTTTCTTTAAATCAAAAAGGAAAGTTTAGTCCTGGCCAGGTAGCTCAATTGGTTGGAGCATTGTCCTGTACACCAAAAATATGGGTTTGATCCCTGGCTAGGGCATGTGTGGAAGCAACCAACTGATGTTTCCCTTTTACATGGAGGTTTCTTTTTTCTCTCTCTAAAATCAATTAAAAAAACATATCCTCGGGTAAGGATTAAAAAAACACAGTGAATACATACTTTAGTAGAACAAAAAAAAATTGAGGTTTCCTTCTAAAATAAAAACTAAAAGTTCATGCCGAAACCGGTTTGGCTCAGTGGTAGAGCGTCGGTCTGCGGACTGAAAGGTCCCAGGTTCGATTCCGGTCAAGGGCATGTACATTGGTTGCGGGCACATCCCCGGTGGGGGGGTGTGCCAAGAGGCAGCTGGTCGATGTTTCTCTCTCATCAACTTTTCTAGCTCTCTATCCCTCTCCCTTCCTCTCTGTAAAAAAATCAATAAAATATATTAAAAAAAAAAACACCTAAAAGTTCAGAGCTAGTAGAATCCATGCTATGTAATTTTTTATGCCTTTACTGTTCATTTTTTTAGATAAATTATTCTATACATCTTATATAGTTAATAGTCTTAAATGTTCTTCTAAAGAGTTCTGTCGAGAGCAGTGTTATCAATATTTTGTAATGTCTAAGACATTTTTAATTGATACAACTGAAAAAAAAAGAAGCTAGGGAGCTGGGGGGGAGAGCTGCCTGTGCGACTATCTAGAATAATCTAGATCAAATATGTTAAGTAATATAACAGACATAGAAATCCACTTAATTGCTTAAGGAAAACTTATACAATAGTAGTATACATGAAATCAACTTGTTAATGCCATAGATTTAAATATTACTTATGAATATCCTAAAAAATGTTAGCAAAATATAGTTACAATTTGAAAAAACTATAGATACCATTAAGCACAAGAATAAGAGCTTCAAATTTTAAAATATTTTGCATAATAAAATTCAAGTAAATCTTTCAAATTGATTACAGGTAACACTTATTTTAATGTTTAAACTAACAATTAAATTAGGTTGTTTTTAGCCCTGGCCAGTGTACTAAGAGCATCACCTGTGCACTGAAGAGTCTCGGGTTCCATTCTGGGTCAAGAGCACATGCCTGGGTTGCAGCATGCAATGATGGGATCCCTCAGCCAGGCCTGAGCCCTCTCACAATCCAGGACGACTTGAGTGTTTGTCAGAGAGCCAGTTTCGGCCCAATACACACACACACACACACACACACACACACACCCCTCCCCCTGCAGGCCAGGTTAAGAGACCCCACCAATGCACGAATCTGGGCCTCTAGAATAATATAAGCATAAGCAGACCTAGATCCTAATCCCAAAGCTATATGCTTACAGACAAATAATTTAACTTCTCTGAATCTCAATTTCTACACCTAAGAAATAAAAAAATCTAACTCAAAAACCAGTTGAGAATTAGCAAAAATTTATAAACAAATGGTACTGAAAACCACTCTACAAATGGTAATTGACATTATAGTAAATATTAACCTATGAATACAGATTATAGTTTTGTTCTCAATATCAACAACTCACTTATGTAATTTGACTCACAGAATAACTACAGAATGTACTTTAAAGCAATTTTCCACTCCTAGCAACTTTCCCTATAATTCTCAGATTTAAAAATTAGTATCTGACAAAGGGTGACTTTTCAAACAGTCTTAAGGAAAATGGCCTAGACAATGCTTTTACTATTTTATTTATTTTGACTAAATAACATATTCACATGCCTCAAAATTCAAAAGAGATCTTTTGATGCCTGTTGCCCCTTACTCCAATTAGCCTACAACAGAAGCAATTAATCTTACCAATTTCTCATTAATCCTTTCACTTATAAAAATACACACTTTCCCCACTTCTGATACAAATGGTATCCTCCTCCTCCTATTCTGCACCTCACTTTTCACATTTTTTTCCTTGATGTTTATATTTTTAATTAACAACACACTCCAAATATGGCGACTTATAACTTCTTATGGCCAGAATTCACCAAATATTAGCATTCTTTACAAAGGCACTCAAAAGGCAAAAACAAAACAAAATCCTTAAATCAACCCAGTATTCTTAGCAAAACAAGCATATGAAACCTAAACTTTCGTAAACTGGACACTCACATAGGTGACATAATGAAAAACTTGATTTCTTAACCAGCCACTTAAGACTCTGCATTTTACATACTTAAAAACAACAACACATGGCCTGGTTTTGCTCAGTGGATAAGAGCATTGGCCTGTGGACTGAAGGGTGCCAGGTTCGAATCCGGTCAAGGGCATATGTCTGGGTTGCAGGCTCCAACCCCATTAGGGGGTGTGCAGGAGGCAGCCAATCAATGATTCTCTTTCATCATTGATGTTTCTACCTCTCTCTCATTCTTTCTTCTCTAAAATCAATAAAAATATATTAAAAACAAACAACAACAAAAGAACACACACATGAACTGTACTACAAGTCCTTCAGTGAGTTGAAAATAATTCACTTTTAGAACTGGCCTTATACAGATGAAATAAAATATTGGTGCAAATAAAGCTATTGGTTGGTTATATTCCAAAATTAAGTTATCTGACTCTAAGAATAAGAATATCATGGTGAAAAGTTGAGAGTCCTTACCACTTTTAAGTAACAGAATATATAGATTACAAGTTTAATATTAAGTTTTAGGCTTGTGCAATCTTATAGAAGAAATGTTTGGGGCTGTTGGCAAAATATTAGCTGCAATGTTTCATTACAAATATATATGTTAACTATCCTAGAATATATTTTCTTATTAAATAAAAAAATAAAGTCATTGTTTCACTGCCTATCAGATGACTACTTCTGCACTGTACCACAAAAATACAAAGTCATCCTTCCATTCAGAATTTTGGCACTAGAACAGAGAGGTCAGAGTTCATACACATGCTCTGTAAAACTGATTATACTATATACTACTACATTCGATAAATATGCTTGTATCTGTCATTTTTATACAGTTTTAAACTATTTTCTCCATGTCTAATTGTAAAGATATGTAAACACCTTTATAGACAAATAAAACTCAAGTGCTATCAGATATACAGGGGTGGGCAAAAATAAGTTTACCGTGTTCCTATGGAAAAAAAGACATGCAGGTTATGATTCTTACAATAGCTTTGTGAACTCAAAAGAATGACACAGTAAACCTACTTTTGTCCACCCCTGCATGTATTTCAGTTACTCATCACATACTTAGAATGCTGAATATCACAAATCATTGCGATTATAAAAATACCAAGAGAAAAATACAAACAGCAATCATATATTCAATAATGGTATCTGACAACTTGAAAATAACCACCATTTCAGCTTTTTAATCTTCCTTTGTTAACTCCAAGAAGGAAAAACAACCTTGCATTCTTGAACTGGGTATGGAAAATTGTACTGATACTCGCATGGTTTTGAGTCAAGTTACTCGAACATTTTGAGTTATATAAACAAATGTGGCCAACACTAGAGTATCTAAATTCTGCAGGACTCAAGAGAAGCTTCAGACAAAAACATTTTTTTTTTAGTCAACTCAGGTATGTTATAATACACCCTCTCACTTTAAAAAAAAAAAAAAGGAGATATCACAATGTGCTCATCAGGTGAAACCTCACGTTTTAAATAGGGCCGTTTCAAGAGCAAGAATCAACAATGAGGGGCACATCATAATGAAGTTTCATGGCACAACTCAGTCACAGAGGCATTGTCTGGGGAGAGGCTCTCTCATCAGTTACTTCTGTAACTTGTTATGTTTTGAAATGAGCTTATTATACACTCCATGTTTTCCTTGCCAGTTAAAAATACTTAAATGCCTCTAATCCACCAAAACAACTTGCCTTTACCCAAGTGAAAAGCTTTAGGTGTCGATAGAAAAAGGAGCAGCCTAGGAGTTGGAGGTAAATGACCTGGTGTGGGATGAATAGCTTCTCCCAGGTGAAAATCCCCTCCTCTTCCCTTTCACTTCAAACATCACAGCATCCCAGTGGGTCCCCCTCCTTCTCTCCCCACACCCCCCAACGAAGAGGGGCTAACTCTGAACGCCCTCCTCCTCTCATCCAGACCCAGGAATTCATTCTCACAGCTCCTTCCCGTGCCGAGAGGACGGTAGACTGAGGCCACAGGCTATCGTATCACCCAGAATATGCCCTCAAAAGTGTGGGCCTTCGCGCCCCGCGGCTCCCCGGATCCAGTTACCTTTCCCCTTCCCCCAGCCCACTTCCCGGGTTTTCTCAGGGTTTTCTCAGGCTCGGCCTGCGCCCCCCTCTCCACCCTCCGAGCTGCGGCCACTGCCTGGGGCTCTCTCTGGAGCTCACACCCCGCCAACAAGGACCCCTTTTCCGCATCTGCCCCCCCCAAAAAAAAAAAAATACTGTGTTCTTCTCCACACCCCTCACCCGCGAGCCTGTCCATCCCAGGGCCCCGGGAGCGGAGGGGAGGGGAAGGCGGCGGAGCGAGAGGGGGTGGAGGAGGCGGCTGCTGCTGGTTCCTCACAGGCAGAAGGGCGGCCCGCGAGAAGGGGCGCCCGGGGTGAGCCGGGGGTTCATTGGAAGGCGCCGCCGCAGCCGCCGGCAGGGCCCCCCCGCCCGCCCGCCCGGGGCTGAGGTAGGTGGGGGGATGTCCCGGAGTTCATTCCTGACCTCCTCGCTCTTCAGCACCTCCTTGAACTCCCGCTTGATTCGCTGCACCGCGATGTTGGCCATGTCTCCGCCCGCAGCTGACTCGTACCCGCCTCCTCCTCCTCCGCCACCGCTACGACGACCACCGCCACCGCCGCCGCCACCTCTTCCTCCGCCGCCTCCTTCCTCGGCGATTCAGCCCCGAGCACACGAACGCCGCCGCTGCCACTGCCACCCCGGCCGCCGCGCTCTCCTCAGTGTGGAATCACCTCCGCGCCGGGCCACCAAAATGGCGCCGGGGCCGCGCATGCGCACGACGCTGGCCTGGCCGGGCGGCGCGGCCGCTCCCGTGTGTAGCGCCATACGCCCCGCCGCCGCGCCGCCGCGCGTCTGGGAGCCGCGGCCCGAGGCTCCGCCCTGCGGGCGTCTGGGGCCCGGAGGGTGCGGCTTCCGCGCTGGCGGGCCCGGCACGGGCCTCTCTCCTTCTCCCCGCTTCACGCCGCTGTGGGGTAGGGTCGGGGCAGGCGTCCTCGGAGGCCGAGGTCCGCCGGACGGGGCCCCGCGGCCCGGAGCGCCGCCCGGCGCAGCCCGACCCCGAGCCCGCCGGCCCCTGTGAGAGCCCGCGGCCCCAGCTCTCATTCCGGCCCATTGCTTGGTGGGATGGTTGGGCCCGGGAAACCCATCGCGGTCCGTGTGTTTGTGCTGAAGCCATGACAGTGCCATCAGGCCAGGTCCTAGAAGTCATGGAGTTCGTAGGTATGTTCAGTGTTGGGCCCCGTCAGGTGTACATGAGTCAGGATGTTGACCTTTGACCTACCTAGGTTATACCGAGCCGTGGAACAAAAACCATAGTTTTCTGGTTTGTTGTTGTTTTTGTTTAAATATGTATGTATTTTTAATATATTTTATTGATTTTTTTACAGAGGAAAAAAAAAGAGAGAGAGAAACATCGACCAGCTGCCTCTTGCACACCCTCCACTGGGGATGATGCCCGCAACCAAGGTACATGCCCTTGACCAGAATCGAACCTGAGACCCTTCAGTCCGCAGGCCGACGCTCTATCCACTGAGCCAAACCGGTATAGGCAAAAATATATTCTTATTGATTTCAGAGAAAAAGGGAGAGGGAGAGAGAGAAACATCAATGATGAGAATCACTGATCAGCTGCGTCCTGCACGCCCCATACCAGGGATGCCCCAAAGGGGCATCATGTGCTCTCACCTGAGTGGAACTGTGAGCTCCTGATTCATAAGTTGAGGCCCAACCACTGAGCCACCTGGCCAGGGTAAAACTATAGTTTTTAAACGTCAGTGTACAATCAGAATCCATGCACACCTTGTTGTGTGTGTGTGTGTGTGTGTGTGTGTGTGTGTGTGGTGTTTTGTTGTTTAAAAAGAGATTGCTGGGCTCCATTCCTAGAGTGAGGGATGAGCCTAATGATTTGCACTTGTAACAAGCCCCCAGATGCTGCTGCTCCTGCTGCTGGTTCAGGGGCCACACTGTGAGCTAAGGCAATGGGAAAGTGAGAAATGCAGAAATAGACGATTCCTGGGGGAGCAGGGCAGTTTTACCTCCGTAAGCCTATGGCCTCCAACAGTATCAGACTCTAGTAGGCACTCAATAAATAGTAAATGAATAAATGAGTAAAAATAAGAGTAAAGCCGAAACCGGTTTGGCTCAGTGGTAGAGCGTTGGCCTGCGGACTGAAAGGTCCCAGGTTCGATTCCGGTCAAGGGCATGTACATTGGTTGCAGGCACATCCCCAGTGGGGGGTGTGCAAGAGGCAGCTGGTCGATGTTTCTCTTTCATCGACATTTCTAGCTCTCTATCTCTCTCCCTTCCTCTCTGTAAAAAATCAATAAAATATATATTTTTTAAAAAGATAAGAGTAAAGTGTTTTAACGAGTAAGTTTGAAAGACAGTGTGAAAATGGTTGCTAGTGTTTGCAATAAGTACTAGTGCTGAGAGGTACTTTGAATAGAATATTTGGGATAAATAGTAAACTTTACTTAGAAGTTTACATTTCATTGCACTTTTTTCACCTAACCAATGAATATAGTATTCTATTTTTTAAAAATCACAAATACAGTCTTATCAAAAATTACTAAGATTGGCAGCAAAAAAGGAGAAAGCCACAGGAAGTCAGTCATTCAGTAGTGGCACTAAATGGTGGCAAAAAAAAATACCCACCATAGGAACCAAGAAGAGATGTTTCATTCCAGCTCTCCATGCCAGTTCTCTTGGTTAACCTTGGTTTCCTCATCTCAAAAAGAAGAAAACTGGATTCGATTATCTTTTTCAAGTTTCAAGAATTCAGAATTTGAAATTATCATCTGAAAACCTTTCCCTAAATAGACTAAAATAAATTATAATATTAAACACACACACTCACACACACACACAAAAAAAAACTATCAAAAAAGAAAAGAAAAAAAAAAACCTTCCAGCAGAGCCCCCTAGTGGTCCTAAAAGGAACCAACTATATAATATGTGGGTCATGGTACAATGAATTATTCCTATAATATAAATCATGCAATATTATGTGTATTTGTGCCAAAACAATAAGAATAATTATTTTGAAGTGTGCAAATTTTTTTTACTATTTTACATATATCACCTCATTCAGTCCCTGATCTTCAAAAACTGCAATGCTCAAATCACATGAGGACTAGTTAGAAGGGTATTGTAATTTCTTTAATGGAAAGAAAGTTGGTAATTTTTAAATGCACATGATCATTGGCTCTAAAATTCCACTTCCAAGTAATCATTCTATGGTCTTTCCAGAGAATGAGGATACTACATAGTAACTAATATGAGACAACCCTCAAAAATATATTTTAAGGGGGAAAATAGCACTATACTAAATATAATGTGGTATCCTGAATTGGACTCCAGTACTGAAAGGACATACTAGTGAAATCTGAATATGTTCTGATTTTAATTAATAAATAATAGTTAATAGTTAATAATGAATATTAAATATTAATTTAGTTAATAGTACTTTAGCAATATTAATGTCTTGGTTTTGTTTGTTTGTTTGTTTTAAATAAATCCAAATTTATTTCTATTTAAAAATGCTCAAGAGGCCGAAATTGGTTTCGGCCTCTTGAGCATTTTTAAATAGAAATAATAGTGGATAGAGCGTCGGCCTGCGGACTGAAGGGCTCGGGTTCGATTCCGGTTGGGGGCATGTACCTTGGTTGCGGGCACATCCCAGTGGCGGGTGTGCAGGAGACAGCTGATCAATGTTTCTCTCCCAGCTGATCAATGTTTCTCTCTATCCCTTTCCCTTCCTCTCTGTAAAAAAGCAATAAAAATATTTTTTTAAAAAAAAGAAAGAAAAAAAAAAAAGAGAGCTCTTTCAGACCAGAAACCAGTAAACACTCTTCAAGATGAAACATCCTCTTAGTTGTGACATGGTACTATGGTTTTTTAAGATGTTGAAATCAGTAGAAGTAAAGAGTATACAAGAATTTCTGAAACATTTCTGTAAATCTAAAATTATTATTTTTTTAAAGTTTACTCTTTAAAAAGCATGCTGGCTCTAGTCGGTTTGGCTAAGTGGATAGATTGTCAGTCCTTGGACTGAAGGGTCCCAGGTTCGATTCCGGGTGCTCAATCCCCAGTAGGGTGCATGCAGGAAGCAGCTGATCAATGATTCTCATAACTGATATTTCTCTCTCTCTCTCTCCCTCACCCTTCCTCTCTGAAATCAATAAAAATATATTTTTAAAAAATGAATATATGAGTCTTTGACTTCAAAGAAAACAACTGGCAGAATTTGTTGCCTACGATAAAATTCAAACTTTCAACTGAAAATTAGTGTTATATATCTGCCACTGTGACTTGACAACTTCCAAACACACTTAAAGACAATTCTGTTTAAATTGGTGGTGATGTTAAACAAATGTGATTGCTTGAAATTATACAGTGAAATGTATTAAAATTTGGAAGATCTGCATAAATCAGTGAAGCAAGATTTTCCAAATGACCAACGCAGGATGTTAGAGAATCAGGCATGGGTAAAACACCCATCCAAAGTTCAAGGTAACCATTGGATTTTAATGTAACAGCGTACAAAAAATTCATTGATAATATTTCAGATTCCACATTGCAACTAACCTTTAAAAAACTATAATTTGCCAAAACCGATTTGGCTCAGTGGATAGAGCGTCAGTCTGCGGACTGAGAGGTCCCAGGTTCGATTCCGGTCAAGGGCATGTACCTTGGTTGTGGGCACATCCCCCATGAGGCGTGTGTAGGAGGCAGCTGATCGATGATTCTCTCTCATCGATGTTTCTAATTCTCTATCCTTCTCCCTTCCTCTCTGTAAAAAATTAATAAAATATTAAAAAAAGAAAAGAAAAACAAACTATAATTTGTCTAGATTTAGCATATTATTATAGAATAATATCCACCATTACCTGAAAAAGCTATTAAAATATTCCTTCCCAGCACTGGTCAGTGTGGCTCAGTTGATTGGAGTATTGTCCTGTACACCAAAAGGTGGTGGGTTCAATTCCTGGCCAAGACACATACCTATGTTGAAGGTTCAATCCCAGTCAGTCAGTCAAGTTGTGTGAGGGAGGCAACCGATTGACATGTCTCCCTCTCTCTCTCTCTCTCTCTCTCTCTCTCTCTCTCTCTCTCTCTCTCTCTCTCTCTTTCTCTCTCTCTCTCTTCCCTCTCTTCCTCTCTATCAAATTAATAATCATATCTGTGTTAACTGGTTTGGCTCAGTGGATAGAGCATCAATCTGCGGACTGAAGGGTCTCAGGTTTGATTCTGGCCCAGGGCACATGCCCAGATTGTGGGCTTGATCCCCAGTAGGGGGTGTGCAGAAGGCAATTGATCAATTATTCTTTCTCATCATTGATGTTTCTCTCCTCCCTTCCTCAATAAAAATATATTTGAAAAATTATTAGAGAGAAAGAGAGAGAGAGAGAGAGAGAGAGAGAGAAGAAATATCTATTAGTTGTTTTTTCTCCACCATAGCTCCCCTCCACCCGATTCCCACCCCACCCTCTGCCCTTACCTCCCCCCACTGTCCTCATCCATAGGTGTACGATTTTTGTCCAGTTTCT